GGGTGAAGTTCACAGCCACATCCTCAAAGGTCAGTAGGTTCTGAAACATCCCACATGTTTCCAAAAGGAAGGATGAGACTCACAGAGTGGTGATCTGTGCTGAGTTCATAAGACGGTGACAGGCTGCATCAGACTCCACTCACCCATTCTCTGACTTCTTAACCAGACTCTTCCTCTGTGTCTGTGCATGCATTCTCCCCCAACGCGACTAAGACAGAACTATGTAGTACAGTCTCACCCAAATAGGAAGAATAGGCCTCTGGTCAGTGAGTATATGCATAACATGCAGCTTGAATCACCCCTAGTGTCTCCTCACTGGGGCCCAGGTTCCCAACAAACGAACCCTTGGGACACACTCAAAATCATACACGGTCCGAGCGGTGTCCAAAAGCAGATTTATGTAAGCAGAACAATGAATCGGCTAAGATGAAGACAAGTCAGTGGAAATTATGCAGCTGAGAAAGACAAAAATAAGAATGAAATCAATTGTGTCTTGCAGGAATTGTTTAAAATTCTTCACTGAAAAGGAAAATGGTACAAGTTATGAACTGGGATCACCTAAGAAAAGAATGTGAGAATAAAGAAAAATGGGTACCACAAAATATCTACTTTCCTTATTCTTATCTGATCTAATAGATGGATACTTGTGCAGAATGATAATATTGAGTGGTTGTAGGTACTGGGATATCAGGTGAATGGCAGTAATTGATTATATGGGACAGGAAGGAGGAATTGGGACCATACTCATGTGTCATGAAACAGTGGAGTGTTATTTGAAAGTGGATTTACATTAATTGTAAAGGCATACTTCAAATTCTAGGGAAACTCCTTAACAATTTTAGATGACATATAATAAATGGCTAATAGAACAAAGAAAATGGATCATATAGGGGCTGGGGTTATAGCTAGTGGTAGAGCGCTTACCTAGCACATGCAAGGCACTGGTTTTGAACCTCAGCACTACATTAAAATAAATAAAATAAAGGTATTATTTTTACATATTTCTTTAAAAAATGGAGTCATAGAAAAAGCTCAATTAAAATGAGAGGGCAGAGCTGGGCATGGAGTGGCACACACCTGTAATCCCAGCGGTTCGGGAGGCTGAGACAGGAGGATCGTAGGTTCAAAGCCAGCCTCAGCAATGGCAAGGCGCTAAGCAACTCAGTGAGATGCTGACTCTAAATAAAATACAAACAGGGCTGGGGATGTGGCTCAGTGGTCGAGTGCCTCTGAGTTCAATCTCTAGTACCCCCCATCAAAAACATGGGAAGACAGAGAAAGAAAAGCTTTTTAAAAAAGGACAACAAAAATATTACAGTTGTCAATATGACAATTTGATTATGTCAATGATTCAATTTAAATGGGAATTATGTAAATACACCTATTCAAAGACTGAGTAAAGTACAGGTGGTGGCACACACCTGTAATCCCAGTGGCTGGGAGGCTAAGATAGGAAGATCATGAGTTCAAAGCCAGCCTCCACAAAAGCGAGGCACTAAACAACTCAGTGAGACCCTGTTTCTAAATAAAATACAAAATAAGGGCTGGGGGTGCGGCTCAGTGGTTGATTTCCCTGATTTCAATCCCTGGTGGAAAGAAAAAAAGGAAGGAAGGAAGGAAGGAAAGAAGGAAGGAGGCAGGGAGGGAGGGAGGGAGGGAGATTGATTTTTTAAAAAGACCCAAAGTTCTTTTATCTATAAGAAAAAACTATGCTGCAAATAAAGACACAGGAAAAGGAGAGAAGGGAGGGGAGATGTCAATAAAAGGATTCCAAATTTCAGATGTATAGGAGGCATGAACTCAAGAAATCCTTGTCCAACATGGTGACCACTGTTAATAACAATGCATTCTGCTATGCAAAGTAACTCTGGGGTTCATTTTTTTTTAA